CCCCAAAACCCCAAAACCCCAAAACCCCAAAACCCCAGAAATCATCAATATATTGAAATATACTTTATTACTCATTTAATACTTGGCTAGGTTCATCCTGAGCTCTGAGTGAGAAATTTGAATGTTTTCGCTTAAATTTTAGAACGTTCTAATATGCTTGTGCTCCCAAAAGGTAGTCTAAAGGGCTAGGATTAGTGGTCTTACCAATGGAAAGCGTCTATCACATCAATGTCTCCTTTAGAAGCAATTGTGGTTCCCCCTCCTGGAGTTTTAGAACTCGAAAATTCTGTAAAATTAGTATGCTAAATCGTACTTTTCGGAGAAGAAACAGAACTCACTGTTACATATTTAGAAAACTGAGGTATTCAATTCTGCTTTACAGGAACCAATGAGGTTATGAAGATAGGAGAAGGAGGTTCCCAGTTATTCGTTGTACTAGTAGACACAATACTGCTTCTTGGTCTTAATTTTAGCTTTGAGGCATCTAAAACAAGGTAATTTTATAGGCCTAAATTATTTCCTGTTAAATTTATTCTATACATTCTACTTCATCCGAATGGGGTTAAATACTTACTAGTCTTGTTTCTCTGAAGTTTCTTCCTATATTCTCTTCTTGGTCTAGCTGAAGCCTGTCTTTTTGTGATCTTATTCTTATTTTCATTTATCAAATTATTGCTTTTCTTTCTATCAATTATTTGAGAAGAGTTTCTCTGAGAGCATAAAACACTTTTCTCTTGTTGTTTAATGTCTGAAGTCTTAACTTTAGTTTGATTCAGAATGACTTGATCTAAAAGGATTATTGATCATTACAATTACTCTGAGTTCAAAGCCCTTGATTCATAGATGTTGACTTCGTGAGCCTCTTCATGGTATTTTTATTTAATTATCTTCTTTCTTTTCTCCTATATACAAAAAATAATGACGAAAAATAGACGAATCTAGCATATAGGAGCATTTCAGGTAGTTTCCAAAATCTCAAAGTATCCCTTCGAAGGGTTTAAAAAGATGATAGATTACCAAACTCATCTTAGGCTTGCCTAGGTCTCCAAAGGCAAGAGGTTTACTAAGGATACTATTTGTCCAAAGTCTTATATATTTTAGCCTTCCTCCTAAAGATCAATAAATAGCATACGCTTCAGTATCTTTATCTTGAATTTTCAACAAATTAGTGCTGTAGTTCTTCACTCTGGATTTTTGGAGATCTATAAGAGAGGTTATGTGAAGAATACATAGTTTCTTCTGCAGGAGATGCTTCTTAGCAGTCATCAGAATCTCCTCACTAGAAAGAAGATCAATCTAAAGATTAGCGATGCAAGGGTACCCTTCCTCGGAGTCTCTTGGGAATTCCATTAGTGTAGCTTTGTCTTAACTGATTCCTGGTCTGGATTATACTCTTCTTATTTACTGTAGCAACTGCCAAACACAATTCTAAATGGTATTGATGCATGTATTACGAAGAGACAAATATTGCTTTAGCAGATAGGCTACTTCATTTCATCGAATTTATCCTTGTTGGTTTTTGTAATGTGACCTCATCAAAGCCAACAATCTGATTCTCCTCCAAATTTGCTAAACTTTCGATTTCTGAACTTACAAATTATCGACACTTTCTGGTTGTATTTACCCTTGAGGTACTTAAAATTGTCTAAATTATTACAATTATCCACTTGCTCTGTGTAAATTCTTGGAAGGTTCCTTCAATCAGGAGGTAAAAGCCTTCGACTTTATCTCCAGAGGAGTATACCACCATGTTTTTGACATATTCCTTGGGTTCACAATACTGCCACACCTTTTCAAGTTTCCTATCAGTGAACACTTTGAACCTAATTTTATGAAATATAAGCTTACAATGAAAACTGCCTGAGGATGGCAAGATTTTGCTTAAATTCTGCTTTTTGCTTAGCTCCAAGGATATTATTATAATCTAGAGTAAACATAAGCCAATGTACCTTCTTTGTTAAGAGTCATCAACTCAGTGGGGGAGTCCATACATTCAATTGTGGCAGCCCTCGGCTTGGAATTTATGAGTGCTAACTCTCCAAAGGAAGCTCCAGGGGAAAGTTCACTCACATTGATGAGTTTATTTATATACTGTTTTTCCAAATTCTTCTAGTTTTATTAAATCATCACCTTCTTCAACATCTTTAGGGTCAATTTCTTGTGCAGGAACCTTGACTCAGACTTTTCCTTGGATAAGTATGAAGAAATCGTAGCCGAGTTGGCCGAATTCTCACACCTTTTCTCCAGCAGTGCATTTATTTATATTTTAAGCATCGGAGAAACTTTGCGGTTGGCTCATCAATCAGCGATTCTAAGATTGGTTATACTAATATACCTTGAAATTGATGAAATAATGGCTTCAGTTTTACTAAGAGTTAAGACAAAAATTACGAGATTTTATATACCCATGAAGAATTTGGAGGTCAGCCTGTGTCCTCGTCTTAGTGGTATTCTGTAAAATTTCAAGACTTTGTTTTATGATTGCTTCGTGTAGCATCTATACAAATCCACATTATTTTTGAAAATCACTGTAATGTACTAAAATTGTAAGGTGGAAGAAACCAGGGTTTCACTGAATGACATCCACATTGTTTATTACATACCTTTAAATAAATAGTTCTATAAGTTTTACGAAAATAGGGGTTTTGGGGTTTTGGGGTTTTGGGGTTTTGGGG